TATGAAGGGTTGAGGTTAGACCAAGAGTATTTTGGAATACTGAATCTAGTGGTGAGAAAGCGATGGACATGGGTTTTAGGAGCAGATGAGCTAAGGAAAGGCAGACACAGGTAATAGATCTGAATGTGGAACCTGAAATGTTTTTGAATGATGATGTTGAGGGGACAATTTGTGGTTAAGTAATAGGAGGAGATGAAGGATAGATCCTTTTGCAACTCCAAATGTAACATTGTAAGAGAGGAAAAGAAGCCGTTGCAAATAATTTTCTGACTACAACCTGACTTTCTGACTAGAAACAAATGAAAGCAAATGAGGACTGTCCCATCCAATGGGACAGCAGAAGATCGTATGGCCAGCTACGACAAAAAGCTCCACATAGGTCAAGCAGGACAAGCAAGTGTATTTTATCATGGCTGCAGTCAAGAACTATGATAGGGACCATTTCAGTTCTGTGGCAGCAGTGGAAAACTGATTGGAAGGATTCAGGGACTTTGAGACAGGAGATGAAAACACATTCAAGGACTTTGAAAGTGAAAGGGAGGTTGGAGAAGGGGTAGACATAGTAGGAGCTGCCGATGCCATAACGATGCCACCCGAAGGTTGCAGGAACAGCACCTCATATTTCACTTGGGAACCCTACAGTCCAAAGGCTTCAATGTGGACTTCACAAGCTTCAAAATCTCCCCAACCCTGACCTCATCCCAAAACCAGCCCAGTTCGACCCTCCTCCTTGACCTGTCCATCTTTTCTCCCACCTATCCGTTCCTCCCACCTCACTGACCAACCCCCACCCCCACCTCCTATCTACCAGCCTCATCCCTGCCAACTTCACCTGTCCGTCTTCCCATGACTGACCAACCCCCATCCTACCTCCCCACCTACACTCACCTTTACTGGCTGCATCCCCGCCTCCTTGACCTGTCCATCTCCTCTCTACCTATCTGCTCCTTTATCCACCTTTCATCTGCCTGTCCCTCTCTCTCTATTTATTTCTGAATCCCCTTCCCCTCCCCCATTTCTGAAGAAGGGTCCAGACCCGAAACGTCAGCTTTCCTGCTCCTCCGATGCTGCTTGGCCTGCTGTGTTCATCCAGCTCTACACTTTGTTATTGGAGAAGGGGTAGTAGTTTGGAAACACGGAGTAGGCAAAGTTATTATATTTTGACCATTTTTGAAGGGCTGTGGCACTACCTGTGGAGAGAACATTAGTTGAGGTTAATTTTTCACTGAATGCTCAGATCAGTTTGTAGCTTTGAAAATTGCTCACCAATATGTGCATGTTTATAACGTATACCACTTTTATTTCCAATGTGATGGCTTCTACTACCTTTGTGCCATCAGATAATGTGAGCGTAGTCCATCAATTGGAACCTGCAAAATAGGCTTTACTCTGGTCATATCTGCTTTCAGAATTTATTATGGAACTGTACACTCAGTATGTGCTTTGATGCTCAGTCAGTGGGTCTGAAGTGGTTCAGTCTATAATGTTGCAGACAAAATGGTGCCAGGTGGAAACCCCCTGTGCCTACCGTGAGTGCCTTGTGAAAACTAAAATTTATGCTGATTTTCTTTTCCTTCCAGCCCCACGGAAACACAGTTAGCTCCTTTACTTGATACCTTGTGAGTGTACAATTGTCTTGCATACGTAACCCACATTTTATTCCCCTTCTGAGCAGTATTGCATGGTTTGATGTACAAGTGTAGCACAGAATTGCCTCTGTTGTTGGCTGATGTTGCTTTCTTTCAGGTCCTCAGCATTTCACAGAGCTTCTTAACTTGGTAAAGGACCAACAGATGTACAGTGAAGCCTTGAAGATATTCCCAGTAAACAGCCAGGAATATAAGGTATGGTGCGAAGTTTTGTGTCTAACAGCAACCACCTCAGGTTATTGATGTTCAGAGAATTGTCAAGAGAAGATGATCAAGTTTAGTTGGGACAGTCACGTTCAGCCCTTGGCACCAATTCTACCCTTTTCCCCAGGTACTCTGAATTAAACTATTATGAATCTCAATGGCTTGATCAACCCTAAGCTAAGCTTCTAACCCCATATATTTCTAGCACAAAGATGACCAACTTCCACGTCCACGGAATAATTTGCGCCCACTCCTACTTTAACCCATCAGTCTCTCAAGCTTTCACCCATGTCTTTCAGTTCCGGATTTGACAATTCTGATGATCTGCTCAGTGGACTTGCATTCTCCACCCTCTGTGACCTTCACTGTGTTTGAAATTCTGCATCCTATATGCTACCTGACTTATCCATCAGCTCCTTTCATCACTGATGTATGTTGACTCCCAGTCCTTACCACCTCAGCTTTCATATGCTCATCCTCATATTTAAATCTGTTGACAGTTTTCTTTCTTTTTCTCTCTTTGTAACCTCTTGTTTTACTAGCCAACCCTCCAACTCTCTACTTTCTTCTGATCCTGAGCTTTTATGCAATGTACTTTCCTCCATCATACCCACTTGCAGCCACTCCTTCAGCCACCTCAGTTCCAATTATAATATCTCTTACCGCCTCCACCTCCCTTTCTTCCTTTAGGAATCTCTTTCAAAGCTAACCTTTTTGACGAGGCATGAGTAGCATATAATTTGTTGCTTAATGTTCTGTGATGGGCTAATTCAGAGACAATGATCAGAGCCCAACATTGAAGTAAGAGCAAGAAATTTACAGAAGATGGAACCAAATAGAAGGGGAATTGTTATTTAGATTAACATTATTTATAAGTTCACGAAGTTATATAGATATTTGTAAATGGTGATGAGAATATAATTCTGAGATGCAAAACTTAAATAATATGGATGGAGAACAGGCAATTCTTTTTTTTCACGGGTTGTCAATCTACATCCAATAATATTCAGTTAATTTCTGTGAAATCTCTGAGGAATCACTAACATAGTGTGAGACCTGAAAAGTTCAAACAATCAGAAAAGATTGAACAGGTTGGGGCATTTTGCTTTGGAAAAGAGAAGTTTTTAAAATTTAAATTGGTTGGATAGGCTATATGGAGAGTATGTTTCCACTTGAAACAGAATTCAAAAATAGAGGATGCAACTGTGACATAATTACTAATAAATCCAAAACGGAAACTAGGAAATATTTCCTTATTCAGAAAGTGGTTAGAATGTGCAATTTGCTACCACAGGAAATAGTTGAGAAAAGTTGCTTAGATGTTATTAAGAGGAAGCTTGATGAATACATGAAAGAAAAGGGGATGAAAAACATGACGAGGCTGAGATGAAGTAGATGAAATGGGAGAGTTTTATGCAGGGCATAAACATCAACACAGACCATTTGGGCTGAATGGGCAGCTTCTGTGCTGTTTATTCTTTGTTATATGTAAAAGTTAATAAAAGAAAATGGAGAATGCACCTCATTTTTTTTGTGAGGATGTCAGCTTTTGATTCTTCTCTCATTGCAGGACATAAGTATTGCATATGGTGAGTATCTCAATGAGAAGCAGTACTACGAGCAGGCAGGGCTAATCTTTGCACGATGTGGGGAATGCGAAAAGGCACTGGGTGCCTTCCTGCTGTGCAGCAGTTGGCAGCAGGTTTTCTGTATGGCTGCTCAGCTCCACTACACAGAGGACAAAGTGGTTAGCATCGCACGAACTATTGCAGGTAAGGACTGGTAGAACTGTGAAACTTGTCGCAAAGAATTGTGTGGGTTTGAATATTGTCTTTTGTCTCTCAAACCTAGATTGGAATGATGGGTTGGAAGCTTCTTCTCTGGCTCTGTGTATCTTATGTGAAATGAGTTTAGACTGTATCATACTACAGAAGGAGGCAGTTCTACAATTCAAACCCATTTAGCCCTTGAATTAGATCAAGGTAATCCATATCTTAACTCCATTTACCCACTTCTCTCATCTATCAATGTCAATTGAACACTCCTGTCCCTACCACCAGCTTCAACAGTTTGTGCAGAGAGAATTCCGGTTCCTGTCACCAATGATGTAAAGACTGCTCAGCCAGTAGCATTCCCCTTGGGCCTTGGCATAATTTCCCCCTCACCCCAGGGAGTATTTATTACTGATAGGCTCATTTGCAAATGTATCAGCAACAAGCGTGGGAGAGAATTAGCTTGTGATTGGAGGAGTGGCTTCTTACCATTTCCTTCAATTCCTTTTATGCAGTCAATCTTTCTCTGAATGGCTGTCTGAGAAAGCAGATTCTCCCAGGTAATTTAGGGAGTTTTGTCCACTGCTCCTCTGTATCTTCAGGATAGGATGAGTCACTGCTGATGATTGCCCAGGAAATCCTGCCTGCTTTTTACAGAATGGTTGCATCATGCAATGTGAATTGGTGCACCTTTGAGACTGCATTCAGGTGCACTTGGGGACGTTCTACCCTGAGGCTGACTTAACTAAGATTTCTGCAATGATGATAAAAACATGGAATAATATTTCATCAAACACCACTAACATTCCCCATCTTCATGACCCCAAATGCAATTTTCTTTTAATTGAAACTGCACAAGCTCAGCAAAGTGAGTAAGGTGTCTGTCTCTTCTCTTTAAAGGTAAATTGATGGAGCAGCGGAGATATTCGGAAGCAGCACTGGTGCTAGAGCAGTATGCTAAGGTAACTATTTTTACAGATATGTTGCAGACCTGGTTACTATTTGTGACACATTCTAACGCTTAATTACATTTTCATTCCTGCTCAACCTCTCCTCAAGAAAATCCTCCACATCCACATCAACTAGTGAACCTTATTTAGACTGCCTGCAATGCCAGTGTATCTTTCCTTAGATACGTGGCGCAAAACTGTTTCAGTATTCAGCATTCTGGGGTTTCTTCTTTGGTGTGTGTCTGAGTGTGTATGTGTGATTAAGAAAACAGAAAGAGGGTTGGGAGAATCTGCTGTATTAAGGGAATCAAGGCCTTTTAGAAATAAGGCAGGAGATGAGGATTATCAGATCAACCACAATCTCATGGAATATTGAGCCAGATTTAATGAACCGAAAGGCCGAATTCTGCTCCTATTTCTAATGGGCTTTTAGTTACAATTACTGATCTTTGACATATCATAAAAACAGTTCAGGTAGTCACCCTCTACATTGCCCATGTCCTACAGGAAAGCCCTGATAAGTTCATGGTGGCGTGGTCAAAATGAATGAATCAGCATGCAATGAGTTTCAGATCCAAACCCAAGTCCTACTATGCTGTGTTCTCAATTGTGTTTTCAAGCTGATCCGTCAGTTGCAAGCATATCTTTTCTTTTCATAATTTTGCCTCTTTTCTCATCCAGGAATTGTCTTTTCCTGTCAAGGGTTATACCTAGACTGCCCAAACCATTGCTTCTTTTAGCATAGCCCATTTGTTCGACTGCCATTTTTCCTGGCGACTATTGACTCCAATTTATCTGACTTTCCCCACTGTAAGTACTTTGCAGCCACTTAGTTCAACAATCTAAGGAAAAATACATCGGCATTGCAGGCAGCCTAACTAAGGTTCACTAGGTTGATCCTGGATATGGAGGATTTTGTTATGAGGAGAGGTTGAGCAGGTTTAGAAAAATGAGGGGAGACTTTATTTTAACATATAAGATTCTTAGGGCTGCTTGAGAGGTTAGTTGCTAAGAGGTTATTTTCCCTTGTGGCAGAGTCTAGGACCATAATCTCAGAGTAAGAGGTCAGCCATTTAAGGCAGAGATGAGGACGAATTTCTTCTCTCAGATGGTAATGAATCTGTGGAATTCCTCACTGCAGAAAGCTTTAGAGGCTGGGCCGTCAAGGATATTCAAGGCTGAGATAGACAGGTTTCTAATCTGTAAGGCTGAATATAGAAGGTTCAGAAAAGTGATAAGAAAGCAAAGAGGGAATATGAGAAGAGACTGGCAGCTAACATAAAACAAATTCCAAAGTTTTCCATGTGCATACAACTATTATAAGGGTAGTCGAAGGAGGAATAGGGCTGTTTGGAGACCAAAAAAGAGATTTACACATGGAGGCAGAGGGCATGGCTGAAGTTTTAAATGAATATTTCACATCTTTCTTCACCAAAGAGAAACATGCTACACAGAACATGATGAAAGAGGATGTAAATAGGTCGCTAGAAGGGTTTAAACTTGAAAGGGGGACGGTATTGGATGGGATATTTGTACTTAAAGTTAATAAGAGAAAGATAGGACGAGGTGCATTCAAGGATATTAAGGGAAGTGAGAATGGAAATTACAAAGGTACTGACAATTTTTCAATCTTCCGGGGATCTGGAAAATTATAAATAACACATCCTTGCTGAAGAAAGGGTGCAAGGATAAGCCAAGCAACTACAGACAAACCAGTTTAATTTCCATGATTGGAAAACTTAAAAGGAACATAACATGACAAAATTAATAGCAAGGTAGACAAATGTGGGTTAACTAAGGAGAGACAGTATTGATTTTTGAGGGAAAATCATGTTTACCTAACTTACTGGATCTTTTTTGCTGATGTAACAGAGAGGGTTGATTAGTTTAATGCTGTTGATGTGATGTACATGGACTTTCAGAAGGCACTTGATACAGTGCTGCACTACAGATTGTAAGTAAAGTTAGACATCATGGAATGAAAGAGACAGTAGCAATGTGGATGCAAAATTGGCTGATTGATAGGAAAGAGAGTAATGGTTGGTGGATGTTTATCGGGCTTGGACAAAAGTTCGTACCAGAGTTCTCCAAGGGGTCAGTGTTAGGACCATTATTCTTTCTGATATATATTTATGTTCGAGACCTTGGGAAGCAGGGCTCAATTTCAAAATTTGAAGATGAATCTAAACCTGGAAGTATTGTGAAGAGGATAGTGTAGAATTTCAAAAGAACCATAGACAAGTTGGTGGAATAGTGAAATAGGTGGCATTTGAATTTCAATGTGGAGAAGTATAAGGTGATGCAATATAAAATAAATGATACAATGGAATAGGGTCGCAGGAGCAGAGGAATATGAGTGTATATGTGCATAAATGATTAAAGGTGTCAAGACAGGTTGAGAGACCAGTTAATTAAACACACAGTATCCTTGGCTTTATTAATAGGGGCATAGACTACAGGCGTTATGCTGAACTTCTATATCACTTTAGCCTCAGCTGAAACTTTGCATTCAGGACTGGGTGCCACATTTTACAAAGAATGTGAAGGCATTATGAGAAAGTGCAGAAGAAGTTTCACGAGAATGCTTCCAGAGATGAGTAATTTCCATTATGGAGATACATTGGACAAGTTGTAACTGTTTACCTTGGAAAAGCGAAAGCTGAGAGGAAATCTGATAGAAGCAAATGGAAGCATAATTCAGAAGTAACTCTAAAAAGGGTATTGGAATGGTACTTGAAAGCTAGACATTTGTAGGGATACAGGGAAAGAATGAGGGGAGTGTACTTCTTGGATAGTTCGACCAAAGCTGCTACAGACTTGATGGGCTAAATGGCTTCCTATGTTGTATGATTCTATACACTTCCACCTGGTTCTCTCTCCTCAAACTTTGCAAAGGGTTATTTCAGTTATTATACAGGTTGCCCTTAATTAAAGCAGTTTTGATTAACGTAGCTTTGCTTTAACTTGGTTTTAACTGTACTATCCATCATTCCAATAATGTACACTGGCTTCACGATTACATGGTTCTTACCAACTCTGAGCAGCATGGAGGAATAAATGTGCACCAGACCTCTGCAGTCCTGGTCAAGTTCCTGGTTGTTCAGCTTGTTTTGGCTGTTGCCTGCCTCAGTTAAAGCTGGATCAGTTTTTAAAAATTGTCCCCAAGGACATTCACCCCTCCACTTCCAAAGCAGCAGAGAAGCAGTCCGATGGTCCTCAAGCTTCAACTTTCAGAATTGCAAATGAGTCGGGTGAAAATCCACAGCCTACTACCTCTAGATAAGCAATATTATATATCAGTCAAGAAACATGATAAGATATCCTTTTTGCATACTTTCATGACTCTTTTGGTGTTTTGTATCAACTTTGTGCTCATATATTCTGTACTTGTTTGATGTGCCAGGAAGAGAACCCGGGCATTTACATGGGTTTCAATGCAAATGTGTTTTTCTAACGATGTGTTTTTGCTGAACTTGGTGATTTTCAGTAACGTAACAACTGTGCTAATTGAGGATTATCTATATGCTGGTTTTTGTATATTAGTTGTGTCTGAATCCTGAGGAATCTCCTCAGTTAGTTTCCTTGGATGTGATCCAGACCTGGCTCAATTTTGGTACTATTTGGAAAATACTTTCTTGAAGAATGTGGAAGGCTGTACAGTGACTGTAACCTTCCTACTTTCAGGTCACACAACTGTTTTATAAAAATATACTTTAATTCCGAATAAGAAAGTAATTTTAAATTCAATGCATTGCACATTTTGGGAAATAATCCTCTTCCAGAGTTCAGCTAACTGTGCACCATTCTTGCCTAGAAGACAGTAAATGCTCGTGGCTGTGAATGTTTATTGCAATGGATTCTTTTAAACTTGATCTTTAGTTATATATGTAAGAGTTTTTTGACATGTCTCTCAACAGGACTATGAAGAGGCAATTACATCACTTCTAGATGGTGCAGGCTGGGAAGAATCACTAAGATTGGTAAAGATTTCAATCTCATGTCATCTTAATTGATTGATTCATGGAGTACACAAATGTTTGTTTTCCATTTCCTTGGTTATTTTGCAGTTTTACCTGATCAACATGAAAACTATGATTTGCATAATTTCAAATTGTTGAACTATCCAAGTATTTTTTAATAAATAAACCTTTTCTCTAATTTTATGTCTTGCCATCATGCTGCGATTCATCCCTTTCTCCACTAACCACTTGGTCGCTGGCATCCTGGTGGTTAATTAGGGTTACACATATATCTATTTGGAATTGCAGTCAGAGACAGCAAATATATCCAAAATTGAATACAGTAGTATCTGATTATAATAAATACTCCCATTTTCTCAGACAGCAACTGCTGCTGATGATTCTGCTATGGCTATTTTGCCTCATCTATATCCTTATTTTCCTTTTTTAGTTGCCCCATTACTAACCTCTTATCTCACACGATCATCATTTTTCTTATTTAATCTCTCCTGCATTCCATCCACTACATCACAGACCCTCTGTTGTTCTTTCTTTTCTCTCCTCCTCTTTTCTGTCTCTGTGAATTTGCATAAAACATTTTACAACTCTAAATCTTTACAAATGTCTCAAAGGTTATTGACCTGAAACAGTTTCTGTCATGATAGATTCCATTTGATCTGCTGAGTTCCAGAATTTTCTGTTTTTTAAGAGGGAATCAGAGGTTATGGGGAACATGCAGGAAAATGGACATGAGGAATGTTGGATCAGCCATGATCCTGTTGAATGGTGGAGCAGGCTCAAGGGGCTGAGTGGCCTATTCTGTTCCTTTCTCTTATAGCTTATGGTTTAACACAATAAGTATGTGAAGAAAAATTATAACAAGATACTGGCTAGAAGACGAAAAAAACGTTTATAAAGCATTTTTCACAACTTTGGGGCATTTCAAAGTGCTTTTGGGGTTGTCCTATGATGAGAGGCTAAGTAAATCATGCCTTAATTCTCTGTAGTTTAAAAGAATGAGAGGAAATATAATTGAAACAATAAAGATTTTGAAAGGGCTTGACAGGGGAGGTACATATTAAAGAGCACAGTCTCAGAATGAGAGGTCAGTCGTTTAGGACTGAGACAGTGTTGTGGAATTTTGGTGTTCTCTACCATGGAGAATTGTGGATATTCCATCATTAGAAACATTTAAGGTAGACAGATTTTTGGTCTTTCAGAGAATCAGTGGATATGTGGAGTGGGTAGCACTATGGAATTGAAGCCCAAAATTGGCCATGAACTTTTTCCATCTCACTGTTTCCCACCGTGGACCACCCCAATTTCACACTCCCAAACATGTAATTGAACCTTTTCTTCGATCTTGGCCTGCTTCCGATCTCCATTTCTGATCAAATTTATCTTGCTGAATGCCTCATTTCATAACAAAACAAACAACTGTAACCTCTATTAATTTAGCAAATCACTGAAGGAATCTGAGTGAATTAAAACAAACATTTGGAAGAAAAGTGTCAAATGGAAAATAAAATAGTGATAAAACAATAACAGAATATGGAAGACAGCAAGAAAGAGATGCAAACTAAAAGGTACAGAAACTATTGGAGAGTAAAATGGACAATTACAGGATATTTTAAACATTTTGCTTAGTGGTCAGCGCCAAAAGGTCATGACATACAGATTTGCACAGTAGAAAATACTTGCATTTGTTGGGTTGGTTAGAAGAACAAGCAAACTTAAATTTATATAGTGCCTTTCGCATACCCAAGTCCTTTGCAACCAGTTAAGCACTTTAACGTTTAGCCAGTTGTGCTGTAGAAATCATGGTAGACGTTCACACACCAAGGTCTGGCAAAAGGCAGTGTTGTAATGGGCAGTAAATCAGCTTGGCAGTGTTGAATGAGAAGTAAATATTGTCTCAAATCAAAAAGAATGATTAAACAAATTTCTCTTATTTTCTTAGATTTACAAGTACAGCAGGACTGATATTTTGGAAACTAACCTGAAACCTTCCATATTGGAAGGTAGGTGATACATTCTCCACATTTGCAGAATGCTTCACTGGTGAACTTCAGTACAGTCTTGAATAAATTGCAGTAACGCATGCTTTCCATATTAAAATTTGCATAAATTAATTTCTTAATGCTAGTATTGTTGAGTTACAACCTCAGTCAGGAGCTGATCCTGGGATGCTTCTATGCCAAGATTTTACAAGTAATCAATAAGATGATACTGTAAAATTCTATCTAAAGGAAAAAGAAAATTGTAAAATATTAAGCTTTGCTCTATTAAACTTCTTTTCCCTTCAGCTCATAGTAATCACATGGCATTCCTAGATGCACAGAAAACGTTATTTATACGTCATAAATCTCGACTGGCTGTTGTTCGGGAAAACAAAGAAAAAGAACAGGAAGGATTTTTAGGTAACTGGGAAGATTCCTCACTTAATGATCTTCTTTCATACCTGACCCAGTGATTTTGATTTAAAAAGAAGTAGAAATTGTGACTTTTATTTCTTAATTTTGTTTTTTTTAAGATGAGGAAATGGCTGACGGACCAAACGCAGATCTATATTCAGAAGCTAGCAGTTTACAGTCAGCCAGCGGAATGAGCTCCAAATATTCACACAGTAACTCCAGGATCTCAGCGTAAGTTTGAATTTAATAGTCCCAACATGATTTCCATTTCTTCATTGTCTGACTCAGCTGCACAAAATAAAGCATTGGAATTTAAAACAGATTAATAATGTGATAAATTTCAGAATATCAGCGTGTATTGAGACTTGACTAATAGGCAGGAAACAGAGAGTGGGGATAAAGGGTTCTTTTGCTGATTGATGACCTTGACCAGTGGGGTTCTATGGCGATCACTGCTGGAACCACAACTGTTTATAATATATATTAATGACTTGGAGGAAGGAAGTGAATGTACTGTAACCAAGTTTGCAAACGAAACAAAAATAAGTGGAAAGACAGGTTGCAAGAGGGATACAAACAGTTTATGGAGAGATATTGAAAGGTTAAGTAAGTGGACAAAATGTTGGCAAATGCAGTATGATGGGAAAAATGTGAAATTGTTTACTTTGGAAGGGAGAACAAAAGAACAGTATTAATTAAGTGGAGGAAAAACAGCAGAAAGCTACAACACAAAAGGGCTTGGGGGTCCTTATACATGAAACAGAAATTTGTTAAATAATGTTGGTTAAAGGTTAAATATTGGCCGGTACACCAATAGAACTTAGGTGGGGCGGGGAGCAAATAATCCTCCGCAAAATAAAGGGCAGAATGTAATGTGGCTTCAGTATAGATTATATAATTTGTTTTAAATTAGTATTAAAGGTAGTTACTTCAAGTTTCCATTTGCATTTGCAACCATTATGGTACTTTGAGATGGTCTGCATTGCAAGTTGATACTTTCAGGTTAGACCTATGAACTACTGATACTGGATGGGCAGTGCTTATGCATTTATTTCAAATGCAATTGAGATAAGAATCCCATGTAAGAAGTTGTAGTGGTACATCAGTAAGGGTTTATTTGGGCTTTCTATCTGGTTAAATACGTAATTTGTAGTTTCACACGTATGATTTCACTAAACCTTTTAAAGGCCACAAAAAATAAATTTTCAGGTTTTTGGTTCTGTTTATTATTTAATTTATGCAGATTTGGCATATGACTTAAGCCATTTTTAGAGTATTGCCACCACCAGTGCGCAACTTAGAAGTAGTTAGGACTGGGCATGATTCAAAAAAGATTCATATGACATCTTTGAAAGCCTGAAAAGTGATTTACAGGTAATTAACTACTTTTAATGGTCTTTCCCTGTTATACTATCTTCTTGCGTTATGTGGAGGCACTGTACCAATGCTCGTGTAACAAAAACTCCGAAAGCAATTATGAGATAATCAGCCATGTAATTTGCTTTTGAAGTGATTATTGTTTGAAGAATAAACATTGATGCACAACCTGGAATAATTCACTTGCTCCTTTTCTAAATAGTGAAGTGGGATATTTTGCATCTAACAATAGGGCAGGCAAGCCTTGTTTTGCATTTCATCCACAAGTCAGCACCTTCTGTAGTTCAGCATTCCACTTCAGCACTGGAATTGCTGGCCTAAAATTTTGTGCTTGGGTCTGTGAATCGGGTGAATTGAGGTTAACCCACACCAAAGGCTTCTGACTAACTGATGTTATTAATACAAAGATTTTTATTATTCCCTGTTTCTCTAAACCTGTATGACTACAATGCACCAGTGAGCGTATCTGAAATAGGGTATGCTGAGTTTGTATGTTTGAATTTCACAGACGAAGTTCAAAGAATCGTCGGAAGGCAGAAAGGAAGAGGTACAGCTTGAAGGAGGGAAGTCCATTGGAGGACGTGGCACTGTTGGAAGCATTAGGAGAAATTATATCCACTTTGGACAAATTGACTGGTATTCCTAATTCCATTTCTATCATTGCTTACATGTAAACATAAGATTCTAGATTTCTTTTGCAGAGGTTATGTGTATGATTATGAGATTTTACTTGCCCAATCCTTAATGCTGTAGGGACTAATCATTGTCATTGGCACATAAACAAAACAATAAGTGTTGTATAAACCTAAAACACTTACTATTTATGAGGTGATCAAAGAACAACAAGAATACACTGTCATTTGTGTCATCATAAAATGGATTCCTTATTATTTCCTAAGTGAAGTATGAGGAAGTAACTTAGTTGGCAGTGTGAGGTCCTTGGAGAGAAACAGTAATATATTCAGCTAGGATTGAATCAGAACTGCATGTGCTTGATTCTTCTTTATTGATTTCACACTCCCTCTGCTGATACATATGTGTATGATAGCCATAAGTGGACTAAATGCACAGTGCAATTTTCAATCTAGTACAAGCAAATTTATGTATTCCAGACAACGCATGATGGCCGTTATTTTTCTGCAGAATGACGTTTTTACGTGGAGGTTAGCAGTGAAGTGTTTAAATGTGCTTACCTTGATTAGCACACTCTCATTGTTCCTTTTATTGCAATGAAAGTTTGCAACGCTTTTGGATTCAGTTATTCAAATTTCTTCTACAAAATACAGATTTGATTCTTGGCATTGCTTTCAATTCCCTTTGCTTTGTTTTTTGAAAAGAAAAGAAAATGGTCCTTTTTGATGCTGAATTGTAACGGTGCTTGCCAAATTTTGCGTTTTTAGTTGTACTAAAAGGGAAAAATAATTACATTTCTGTAGTACCGTTAACAACATTAGGATGTCACAAAGCACAGAACATCCAACAAATTATTTTTATAATCTAATTTCTGTTGTAAAGTAGGAGGCACAGCAGCCAGTCTTTACATATTGAGCTCCTGCAAACAGCAGTGAGATAATTGAATATATAATTTGCATTTTTAGTTTTGTTGGTTGAGGAGTTAATTGTGGTCAGGACACAAGGAGAATTCCACTGCTGTTCTTTGAAATACCAACATGGAAATTTTTACATCCACCTTAGAGAGCAGGCAGAGCAGTTCAATGCTTCATTGAAAAGACAACATCCTGACAATGCAGCACTGCCTCAGTGCTGCACTTGGAATGTCAGTCTGGATACTATGTTCAAGTCTCTGAAAATTATATTTTAAAAAAACCCTTAAAATTGCAGCTGAACCTGTCATTCATTATCAGCCTTTCTTCCCCAGGTTTTGTTCTCTAGCTATTTTAAGCACATTTTTATTTATTATTAATTTTAGCCACCTTAAGACCCATAACTACAGAGGTGGAAGTAACTCATCCTGGAGAGACTGTCTGAGAAGAGGGGATGAAGAATATTAATATTTTTGATGTAAAACCAATTTACTCCTATACATCACTTTTCAGGCCTTCTGTGTTTTTTCAATTTCTTGTAAATGATCGGTTCATGGGGGGTATTTTTTTAAAGATAATTTTACCAGCTTTTTAAAGTTATTCTGTTTGTGGTTCTCTCCATCTGCAGGTGAAGTGCACAGATTGCTGAAGATTTTGGTGCTCTTTGGATATGACATTCTAGCTTCAGAGCTTCAGCAGGCTCTGGATGAAACCCTACAGCTTGTGGAAAAATCCATCCCTGAAATCTGGCTGCCTGACCTTAAAAATGCAGCTGTATATCCAGTCAGTAAAGTCAAAGCATTCTTCATAAATAACACAAGCTTACCTTTTTCTCTCAATTCAGTCTTGAAGTCTAGTCTTAAAATTACATGTGTTACTTACCTTAATCTTAAGATTCAATCTCCTAATAACCAAAAGTCACATAGTTTGCAACAAGTCTGTCAGAATGTTGAGTACTCAGATCATGTCCTTGGTTTGTACAATTTTGCAGACGTGCAAAAGGGAAAATGGAGGTCTGTGTTATAGGTACAATCTCTTGTCTGTTTCTCTCATCTAGTAAATGTTTTCAGTAGTCACTTCTAAATAAAAGCATTTAGTGACATCTAATAACATACATTTGCATTTTCTAAAAGCACTGGATGTTGCCATTTTTGGCAAGACCAGCATTTATTTCCCATTCCTAAGTGACCTTAAAACAACTGTCTTGCTGGGCCATGTCAGAGGACAGTTAAGAGTCAGCCATCTTCCTGTACGTTTGAAGTCACACATAGGCTTGACTGCGTAAGAACAGTAGATTTCCTTCCCTAAAGGACATTAGTGAACGAGATTGACTTTATCATACTGAGTTACTATGATTATCACCATATTGATGCTAACTATTTAATGATACATTTTATTAATTAGTCATTTTAGGTTTCCTGTATGAATTCATGCCTTTGTATTCTTAGTTCAACCCTTAGTATTATTCATAGTATAATACTAAGGGTCCAGACCCGAAACGTCAGCTTTCCTGCTCCTCTGATGCTGCCTGGCCTGCTGTGTTCATCCAGCTCTACACCTTGTTATCTCAGACTCCAGCATCGGCAATTCCTACTATCCAAAATAGAGAAACTATTTTTTTTCCTTCTTACAGCACAAAGAAATTTGATAGTGTTCTAAATGATTAATTGATTTGAAAGGGTGAATTAGGAAAAACTGACAATGATGGAAGATTTGGTAAACACAGGATACAGATTTAAGAACATTGACAAAAGAACTGAAGAGGAGATGATGAGCGAATAAATTTATGTAGTAAATTATTGCTCTGGAATGCACAACCTGAAAGGATGATGGAAGCAGACCACTAATAACTGTAAGAAGGGTATTGGTTAAATACTTGAAGAGAAACATTTGCAAGGATGCAGAGAAAAAGCGAGTGTGTTCTTGATTGGATAGCTATAAGGAAAAGCTGGCACAGACCTGCTGGTCTGATTCCTATGCTGTGTGATTCTAATCACCATGCTACCCTGCCTCTATTCATTTGCATATTTGAGGTTGCACATTAAGATTCTGTCTTATTCAAGATGATCATTGCCTGACATTTGTATGATGCCAGTGTTACTTGCCACATATCAGGCCAGGCCTGAATTTTGTCCAGGTCTTGCTGTAGTCAGGTACAGACTACTTCTGTTTCTGAGGCATCATGAATGGTGCTGAAGATTGTGCAATCATCAGCATGCATCCCCACCTCTGACTTTGTGATAGAGGGGCATTCTTCTGATGAGACAGGATCAAGCCCAAGGATGGTGGTTGTTTTGTATGGCTGTCTCAGGCTGTGTTTTGACTGGTCTGTGGGACACCTTTGTGAATTTTGTCACAAGCTCCTGGCTGTTGTGAAGGAGGACTTTGCAGGATCAACAGGACTTTGTTCACCATTGTTGTTTCCAATGTCTTGTTTGATACTGGGTGGGTTATCTGAGTTAATTCCATTTATCAGATTTGTAGCTCGGCCATTTTAATGTGAACTGTACTTGTGGACATCAGGTGAGGATGACAGATTTTAGTGAACAAACAGTCTTATAGTTCCAGATTTATTAATGTGGTCAGATTGGATCCCTGTCCCCAGAACTTTAGTGAGAGTCTGAATTAATCAATCAAGTAGCAGTACAATTACACCATGTCTCCCCCTTATTATTCAGATGGTATTCCAAACAGTTTGTACTGAATACCAGTGCCAATTTCATCATCAAAACTCAGTGAAAATTAAAATGCAGACTTTATACCCAGCGCTGTTCTTGTGCAGTGCTCCTATGTCTGGACCAAGGCTCGAGTTCAAGTCAACCTGCATCAGTGGTGTGTTAAAAAAAAAAGCACCGAACAGTTTGATATTGAAAATATCTATCCTTTCTTGGAGATTTTGACAAAAACAGTGCACAGTATCCCAGGAATGGACTCAACAATGTTCAAGAATTTACACCACATTCATTTATTTCATTACTGTGTATAGGAGGCCATTCATCCCCATTAAATTATTTATATTATTCAATTGAATCATCCATATTCCATCTCCCTGCCATGGTTCTGTAGCTCTTAATTCCATTGCCTAAAAAAAATCAGACTCAGTTTTGAAAATTTTAGTTGACTCCCTGCATCAACAGCTTTCAGGAAAAGAGTCTTCCAGATTTCCCTTTGGCTTAAGAACGACTTACTGACGTGATCCCTGCACAGCCTAATTCTAGATTTAAATGTATGCCCTCCCAACCCTATGCACACATGCACGACGGACACACACAATAGGCTTGAATTGATGGACTGAAGGGCCACCATGTCTTCCAGTAAAGGGCTCAGCTTTTCTCTAAGATGAATGAAGAAGAAATAATGTTTGCAAAGATTTTGTTTTATTACTTTATTGGAGCATATATACTGTTTGGGACATTGTATGTTTGTAGGTGGACAATAGAGATTGCATTATCAAAACATTATTTTTCTTTTCTTATTATAGGTTCTTGGTCCTCATTCAACAGCAAATAGCATCACTGCTTCCTTTCAACAACCAAGGAATGGGGGAACACCTCAGCAAGGTCAGTGTGAAGTGGGGTTAATAGCGAAGCCATGGATTAAAGTTCCACAATGCAGTTGCTCACATCCACATCCAAACAATGATTTCATTTAAAACCAGGCCTTCACTTAAAGTGCAATTATCTTGCAGTAAGGAGTTATAAAAAAAGACTTCTTTCACAATCTTGAGATGTTGCCAAAATGCTTTGCAGTCAACAAGGTACTTTTGAAATGTAGTCACTGTTTTAATGCAGCAAGTGTAATAACTAAATTGTGCACAGCAAAATCCCACAAAGAGTAATTGGAACACCAGCTTTAGATGTTGGTTGATGTATAACCATTGGTGAAGACAGCAGGGAGAATGCTAAAATAAATTGAAAATACTATGGATACTGGAAATCTGAAATGAAACAGAAAATGGCAGGAAATTCTCAGAAGGACTGGCTCAGAAGTTCAGTCTTGAAAGGGAGTCACGTTCATCTTGAAGTGTTAACTCTTTTCTCTCCACAAATGTGGTCATACCCACCAAGTATTTCCAGCCCTTTCTGTTTTAATTACAGCAGAGGAACTCTCTTGCTCATCTTCTACGGGATTGGCCTGTGAAATCTTGAATGACCATTTAAGAGAGCAAATAAGGTCTCAGTTTAGAACTTCATGTGAAAGGTATCACCTGTGGTAGTGTGGCAGTCCCTGGTAGTGTGGCAGTCCCCAGTACTGCACTGGGAATGACAATCTAGATTATGCACTCGAAAGAAAACTGAAATTTTAATATTTATACACAGTGGGTGTCGGCACTAATGATTGAGCCACTTAGAAAGAGAATTAAATTTATGTATAGCCTTGAGACAATATAATGTCTGTACTTCATACAGTTAGCAGCAAGCAACAGTATAGCTCTATAGAATTTAGCTACCCTCTGATCAGGTTCTCTGAGGCGTCAATCGTTATTGCCCATCAAAATAACAAACTGTTTGGAATAAATTGATTTCGAAAACGGTCATATTTACTTGATCCAGCTGGCTGAAATACATTTTTAACAAAAATGTCTAAATATCAAGTTGGAGGCTTTTTATCTGGAGAAATCTGGCGAGGATGTTTCTGTCAGTGACATCTCCATCACATTTTGTTACGTGTATCAATTACTAATGTCTTGTTTCATATTTTTCTCCCCCAGAAGAAATTTTTGTCCCTCCTAAACTCAAGAAGAATGTGAAGTGGAAGCTAAATATTCTGTGAAGATACTCCAGTTTGCAGTGTTCCATTTTTGTGTTGTACGTCATTGCACTGCATGCATTACTGTCAATGTAGAGCAATCCAAAGGCAAGGACGCTTGTGAAAATTGATAGCCATGGTGGTTTTCCATCAGGCATGTGATTAACCTCCTACCAGCTGCAGAATTATGATGGATTGAGCACACAACGACATCATTGTGACAATCAGAACTGACAGACCTGTAATCGAAGAGCAAGATGTACTTCTACTGTTATTGTATAGTTTGGTTACAAAATGAAAACAATGCAAATTGATTTGGTCGATTTAATTGTGTCCTTTTCTATGAAGAGTTTATTGATATTAAGAATCTGTTACTTCTCATATCACCTTTGTTCTCACATGATTCAGTTACAAATGCTAGGTGTTTATAAAGGCCTTGTGCAACACATGATAGAAGCAAATTGTGCAACAGCTAATGAATGAATAATGGATAATTCATAATGTTTTAATGTATTAGGTCAAATTTTTAGAATTCAACACAACCACTGCCTTCTGTGATTTTATAAAGCATTAATAATAATAAACTTTACGAATTAAGCTTACATATGACATTTAGAATTTGCTTCTGTCATGTCTATGGCCAAAGTTATTAATAATTGAAGTTATACAGGGGCTTTATAAACACACTGTACTTCTGTCAGAGCACAGTGTTAAAGGTGATTGTGTTGTTTCTTTTTAGCTCAGAACCTGTTCTGAAGTGAGCTAACAATATTGGTGGTCACAATGTTGTGCACCAGTTTCTCCTATGGTATCCGTAATGGTATTTCAGCATTCATGCAGGCTGTCGTCTTTCCAGGAATCCTTCTTGTTGGTATGTAGCTGATCCTATTTAGTGAAGAAAAGTCACTTGGACATGAAACGTTACCTCTGCTTTCTCTATATATATGCTCCAGACCTGTCATGTTTTTCCAGCAATTTCTAATTTCTTACTGCTAAGCCTTGCTCACCCCTCTTTCCTGCCCTTACTGATCACAGTAACTCCCACCTCACCATTGCCACCACCATCACATGTTCATCTTTGTCTTTCAAGCCATAATGACCTCACCCCTCCCTTCTACCTTACCTGCTACAACCCTAAGGCCCACTCAGAAGCCTCTTTCTCTGACTCTGATTGTTTGTGCTTTACTGTTGGTATCTTTCCATCTATGAGAAATGATGAACATGCAGCAAACAATCCATTTGGATGGGGACTCCATTTGATGTACTTTTATTGAAGGTTGTGAAGTCCAATTCTTGAGAGGTAGGCTGTACCACAAGCACCATGCAACATTGTGCTTTACCCACCTCTCCTTTCATTCTTACCGTTGGGGGCCATGTCCCCACAGTCTTGGACATGTGTTCTGGATATGTTCCCCAAACCTCTCCTTTGAAACTCTTCTAATTAGTCTGACCAAGCTTCTGATGACTCTTTCTTTGACTTTCACTGTGAGATGGTTTCTGATGCTATTTGATAATTGAAAGTTCTCCTGAATTTAATTTCTATCTGAACTTTACAACCTGTATGCCAAATTAGTTACCATGTTGAATGTCTAAATCTGGCACTGTTTGTGATCTGACATGTTCTGGGAACCTTGCAGCACTTCCTGTTCTTCTACTGACAGGTGCAGATCATTGGTGTTCTCTACAGTATCTGCATTTCATCTCAGTTGGTGTTGCTCAGCATTGTTTAAACGTGTTTAAAATTTCCTGACCATGACAGATGTCTTCTTGTGATCCAGCAAAGGTCTTGACCCAAGGCTGTGGATTACCTGTGGCTTTTAGAAAGCTCTGGAGGTGGAAATTTATCAAACACACTTGCTATTTCTATATTGTTGCCCCAATCCCCACCTGCATCATCAATTAAATAGTCTATATATTGAAATTGAGAACTAGGATTTGGAGTAGACCGCTAAGCCCCTTGAGCCTGCTCCACCGTTCATTAAGATCTGGACTGATCAATTATCTCAACTTCCCTGTCCTATCATTGTATCCTTGAAGCTTGTGACATCAAGGATCTATCAATCTCAGCCTTGAATATACTCAAAAAAGAGCATCCACAGCACTTGTGGGGAAACTCCACAGCTTCACAATCCTCAAGTGAAGAAATGTCTTTGCATCTCTGTCCTAAATGGCTGCTCGCCAATTCTGAGACTCAAACCCTAGTTCTAGATTCTCCAGCTGGCGGTAGAAACCATAGCAGTATTGCTCCTTAAAAACTTTACACTTTTTAATTAAGTCACATTCATTCTGCTGAATTCTAAGAAATTTTGTGGCCTTGTGTGTCTCGGTTGCTGTTTCAACAAGCACAGTATGTTGTATGTTGCTTGCACATGGATAGTGATGGTAGAGGCTTCATTTTTCCATCACATGGCTGACCAGGAATCTCTCCTGCTTTTATTATTACAAGGATTTTCAGATTAGTACTTAACTCATTCTTATGTTATTATGAAAGCATCATCCTTGCCCATCAAGTTGATTGGGTGGGACTCAGATGCAAAGATGCAACTTCCTTATGACAGGAGATTAAAAAAAACACACTCCAGACATGACTGCACCAAAAGCCCTATTATAGTTGCATTCCTCCAACATTCATGCAGAAAAGGCTAATGGACCATCTACCCTCCTAAATGCTTACTGCACCTACATGCTACATTTCATGTAGATTCTCTCTCTCT